TTATTTATAACATTTGCTCTTGATTGAACCTTATATTATTGATTATTTGTTAGATGCAAGAAAAAAAAATATCTTTGTCATGATTGTTCTCTTCAAAATAAATCCCTTTGCAGCTTTAGAACTACGGTGTTATGAATTCAATTGGGTTTTTGAACCCATATTACTTATTTTTTTCACCCAGATTTCATTTAACGTTATATTTCTTAAAATACATATTAAATACAAACCATGAATTTTTAAATCAAAATATCTATTAATAAAAATAAAATAATTTTTTAAAATTTTATATCACCTGTACCAAAACAGTATATAATAATATCTCCGTCCTAAATTACGAAATACTTTTGAAAAGATTCAACATCCGAAAATATAAAACATTTTGATAAAAGTAAGACTTTATTAATGATACATTTTTAATATTACTATTCCCTTTATACTCTCTTCATAATATTCTTTTATAAATGAAGTATTAAATAAATGATATCTTAAAAGTTATTTTTTATTTTAAAAAATAAAATTCTAACACACATTTAATAAATTGTTAGTACATATTTTTTATTTAAAAAATCTTATAAATTAAAAGGGAGGAAGCGGTACAAATGAGAATATTAAGTTCATTGACCTTGCTTAAAAGTCTCGTGTTTACCAATGTGTACAGTAATAATTATCATATTTTTCATCCCTTTTTGACTTCTACCATCTGGCACTGCACATAAGTACCAATATAGAAATTTTACGAATGCTGTATTTTAATGCCCTGAAAAACTTTTGGGAAAAGATTGCCATTTCGGGAATGGTTATATAGAGAGAAATGGAAAATGAAGAACAGATAACACTGTTCCCAGTACCCAGTAAGAACAAGAAGATTGTCCTTTATTAGGTCAGAACCCATTTGGCAATATTCAAATATGTTTCCGATTTTTCAAGTTGAGTAATATCTACCACAGTATCTCCCACTCCCAACAATCACTTGGACTCAGACAACTAATCATCGACTGCTGAGGCACATATCAGTAACGAATAACATGACCATTTGACCAGGACCAAAGAGAGTTATTCTTTAGCCTCACTACAGAACTTCGATCAATATAAGCTCTCCAACATCTCAGGGCCAACTCGGAAGGAGACATTAAACATAAATTGTGCATTTTGTCATAATCCAAAAGGCATCAACGCCTGAAAATATTCTGATCACCCTACAATTCCTCTTTATTTCTTTTAATGGAACAGTTTTACGTGGATTAAGGTGATTGGCACCACTATGCACCGTTCTGCTGAACATTTTTGAAGCTAGAAGGATTCGTACGCTGAGGGCAAGAGAAAAATTGTTCGTGCCATTTCTCAGTCAAGTATAAGAGTGTAAGATTTCGCAGGCAAAATAGATCTCTCCATGAGAGACAACCTAATAACTCACAACTAGCAAAGATGGCAGCTACTTAGATTTCAGTTGGCAGTGGCGCCACGGGCAGCAGCAATAAATCATGGCAATTGAAAGAAATCTAGAAGGTAAACGCAAAGGTTATGGTCCCCTCCATGGCATACAAGTTTAAATAAAAAAAGAAAGGTATGTGGATGCTTTTGGAATTAAGTTAACCCCCAAAAACAAGTAAGAGATATAGTCATGTACAAGTTGAATTATCACAAAAATAACCAGAGACACCACACTTCAAAACTCTGTTCTTTTTCAAATGATGTTTTCTCAATCCAATTTGCAAACTCATGATTGGGTAAGAGCCTCTCCAGCTAAGAAATTGACAGCCCTGTTTAAGAAATTCAAGCCAAACACAGTCTCTTCGCAGTTGACTTTTATAGAGACATTCAATGGCTCCGAACATTTACCTTCAACAATAACTGTAAGCAGCATGGCATGGAATTGCTCAAGATCTCACTGCTAAAACGCAAGCACAAACCAGATGCATCATCAAGGTTGGTAGTAACAGGCATATCCACAGATACGAGGGAAACATTTGCATTGCTGAGCATCTTTAGTGCTATGCTTTCGCAAATCACAAGAAAGTTGTCCTTCGTCAAAGAGCTGCTGTCCTTGTTCAGGTCTTCAATGTGATTAGTGAACGTACAACTGAGACATTATACAAGATAATCAAGTTAAGAATCTCAAAGATAAGACAGAAAAATGAAGGGATTTCCAGCAAAATAATCACGCTCACAATGAAGCAAGGTAATCTTGTAATAATGTACAGAGTCAATTTTCTGTCTGCGGAATTCTCCAAATTAACAAGATTCATATTTGCTTCAAACGTTTACAGTTAATGCTCTGCTCATTTTAAATCTAGCTGTTCATTATTTCAACAGGAAAAGATTGCCTAAGCAAGATGGCTATATCCTGAAGCTAGCCTTTACAATAATATATTCCACACCAAGTCTTTTAACACTGTTAATTTCACTCAGTTCATTCCCCGAGTATAAATCCCTCGCAGCAATTCTTCCCATTAAAATTTGAAATGGTCAAAAACCAGTTGGGAAACTCTTAGATGCACTATCACTATAGCATTGTAACAAAATGCAATTACTCAATTGTCCCAATGCAATAACAGAAATAAAATAAAAATCAACTCACTATGGAGGTTACAGGATAAACTCTAATCAATTATGGATTCAGATAAACACGGAGCCTATTTCAGAGATGCTTTCCCCAGGGATATCTTGCTGGGATATAAAGCTAGCAGATTAACAGGAATATCCATACTATTTCAGAGAAGCTATCCATTCTTTTCTTTTTATTTTCTCAATGTTTTAAGATGGGGGCACTCAGTCAAATTGACGATACATATCACATGGATTGGGATTGTGAATGCCAGGCGTAAACTAAATTTATTTAGTAGATGTTCCATACCCTGACTTACCTCCTCACATATTCAAACATCCCACGAAGATGAGATTCTTTATCTCTGAAATCTTCAATACTGATTGGAAGTGGTTTCACAAAGTAACCAATATCAGGCCTTAGCTTAACGGGAAATTTTTGCCATTGCAAAACAAAGCCAGCTTTCGAGGCAATAGGTGGTGATGGAAGTGAACTTGTAGAGTCCTCTTTTCTGTCTGACCAGGCTCCAGAGAAGGAATCTCTTCCATGGAAACCAAATTTGGCAACTCAGTTTTCGAAGTACTGGAATGCAATGCCAAAAACAGTAAGATCCATTAGTGCCAGAAAGCCAATATGTAAAAATCATGCAAATATAAGATGAGAGCCAAAAACAACCAAAAGAGCATATAACACAGCTCTCAAAATCTAATTTATCAATTTTCAGGGGGGAAAAAAGAATGACAGTAAGTGGGTAATTATAAGTTATAACCCTCTTGATGAGTCATCCCAAATAAGAAACCGAAGAATAAAAGCCAAAGCTTACCTTCTCATCTTACCTTTACAATGAACTGGTAAAGGGATATCCAATCCAAGCAAAGATAAAAGCCAAAGTTAACAAAATTAATGTTCCCAACTTAAAGCCCAAATTGAAATTTTAATAAACCATCTTCCTGCATCAGGTAAGCTGGAACTCAAGCCAATTCTTAAACTATGTTTTAACATATAGAGTAGCAGACCAAAATTCACAAAACGCAAAAGCCTTGTAGATTTAAATTATCACCCTGAGAGTGACAAATAAAATCTTTGCAAATGCAGAGCAAAACAAAACACAGAAAATAAAACCATATTGACAATCATGGTAGAAAAGGTACATCAAATTTTACCTTAAAAAAGAAACGGAAAATTTAAAGCTTACCTTTCAACAGTCGATGATGTCTGGTTTGTAGAATCTGAGCCCTTGCTAGAATCCTCATCTATCAAGACTATATCAGATAAGGACTCCAAAGAACAATTTTCAAAGAATAATTCTAGACATACAAGTTGAGGGGATATGCTTGAAGTCTCAGATGAAAATGAATAATTGACCTTCAATCCATTTCCATGTGCGGGATCTAAGAGCATATAGCATTTAGTTTTAACTCGACTTCTGATATTTCCTATGGTTATTCTAGCTGAAGATCTGCAGGCTCGACCTTGTTCCCTTGTACTTTCAGAAGACAATCCAGGCTGCTCATCTAACCATGACTCTAGAGCTCTTGTAGACAACAAGTCCCCAAGATCAGCTGTACCTGGGGAGACCCACCATTCTGACTTTTGCTGCCATTAACTGTGTCTGAAATCTGAATCAAAGGATCAGCATTGCTGTTTTGATTACCAGAAACAGTCTCGTCACCATGGCTGACATCACTTGAACCAGTATATGAATGTTCAGAACTGTAATCAGAAGCACTTTCCTCACCCAAAGATCCAGATGCATCAGGATCATCCTCTTCATTGGAATCTCCTGAAGAAACCCCATCATATTGATCAAGATCATTGTATGGAAGACTAGAAGGCTTTGGAAGAGGCTCATAGCCTGGAGCTGCATGAAATACTATCTGGGAAAGAGAACCAGGGAGATAAAACCGGGAATTGATAGGTTCAGATGATACTGTCACCGTTTTTGTCTGCCCACCAAAAATGCATTTAGCAAGTGCATAGGACAGGTCTCTATTTTGTGATTTGTTATTTTCTTCCTCAATTTGTTGGGACTCAAGATTCCAGGAGAAAAGTTTCTTTACAAAACATGACCGATCACGAATATCATAATTCAGGTCATGCTCAGCTAGTTCAACTACATAACTTAAGACTCTTTGCAAGGACCCACTATCATCTTTCTTCGTGCATAGCATGACCTGCAACCAAAAGCCATTCAAAAAAATAAAATTCATCACATCAAAATTAAACTTCTACTTTTCAGGCCGAAAGAGTAATATAAATTTGAAAACCTTTAAAATAAACTAGCTAAAAGGAACAAATTATTAACATCTGGGAATCCAAAACAAAAAACTTGCTAGCATGTGGTCATATATTCATTTAACAATGCACAGAATTCAAATACTAACATAAATCCTAGTAATTGAGAAAGCAAAAAAAATAAAAAAGGATCCATATGTCAAATATTTCATTTAAAAATGGACAGTATTCAACCATGTATGCACGGAAAAAGTAAACTGTGCCAGCATAGTTAAGCAAGAAAAATCTGCATATTAAAAAATGCATGCTCTCCATCTTTCTGTTAACAGCCTACTGTACTTGCATTAAGCAAAAATACATTTAACGGGTCCCCAGGTTAAGATTATGGCCAAAAGGATAGCATTATTCAAGATAGAATTTAAATTTCTCTTTTCCTTTTTCCCCTTTTGAAAGGGAGGCAAGGGGACTTGCAAGAAGGAGAAATTCAAGTGGGAGCTTTGAAGATTATATGAAAGAATGCAAAGGATAGAACCATACAATTAATAAGCTACACTGAAAAAGAAGAGAAAACATAACTTTGTGTCCTCATACTTAGCTCGCATTTTGCTATATGTCCTAGCACTTTTCTTTTTGTGTTCTAGGTCCCTACAATTTTATTTTTCGGCATTCTAGGTCCCTAAATAAGCAAAGTATAAAGACCTTGGAAGGACTTAAAACACCGTAAAACAAAAGTGTAGGGACCTAAAATACACAAAAAAAAAAATGCAGATACCTATAGCAAAACACAAGCAAAGTATAGGGACCTAAAATTATGTTTTCCCATAAAAGAATTAACAAGTCTATGAAGAGACGTAATCCTAAATTGAACTAAATAGAAAAAAGGAATCTATGATCACAATAGTGTTATAATGAGTTCTGACCAAGGCTACATGTAGTTAACCCAAATTAAGAGATTAAGGCTTATAATCACAGCCAGAGGACAAGAATATAAAATCAGTTATTGATCAGCTTTTAGTTCCATCTTTGTTTACATTTGAGAATTGAAATATAAGTATTTGATACTTTTAGTTACCAGAGAAAAGGATTACGTGCAATAACATTTGTTCAATCGCCATATGGATCAATCAGTGGAATACAAGTGAAAAATTAGCTTCATGACATACCTTTGCCGTTGCGTTAAGTATCTGAAGCTTTGTTTCCAATGCTTCTGAAGCAAAGCACCGAGCTAGATACTTAAGTACTGTACTCAGCATCCTTGGGATTATCTCACCTAAAGAGCAATACTCCCCCATCATCCAAACAATCATAGCACGAGCAGCAGGAACCTTGATTGTATCCAAACTACGAACTAACTGAATTATGACCTTTAAAAAATGAAGAAAGTCACCAACAGATGCAGAAACAAAGCATCCAAAGATTGCAAGAACTACTAGCAACTAACTCAACTATAGCAATGCCACAAGCAAGAAACTACAATGTTCTCCGTACTGACAAAACCAAAGGTGGAAGACAAGGAACTCTGAAATGATATAACCAATTACTACTATTAATAATTACTGTAGCAACATCGTCTGTACTGAAAAAAACAAGGGTGGTGATCAAACTGTAGAAAGGAATAACCGGAAACAAAATATAAAACAATATAATTACGATAGGGCCTATAGGAAAAAAAAAATCCTAGGAATGCTTGTGAAGCACATGTGATAGACATGAAATAAGATATTATACAAAGTTTACAAACAAACAAATAATTTACATGAAGCATGTTTCTCCAATCTTCTGCAATCACTTTTGGCAGGAACGTACTAGCATTTTAGCTTGAAATGTACTTACATTGCTATGATATGTGTAACAAAGGGACAAGAAATCTATAAATAAAGGTGTAATCGCTAATGAAAGCATAATGCCTAAAAGAGGATGAAGTAGCATAACAAATAAATGACGCACCGCAAACATGAAAGCACAGAAATAATTTTAAAAAAATTAAGTTCCATCAGCATATAATGAGATTCATCTATCTCATCCACACACATCTATAATTCCACCAATAATCTTTCCAATATGATCAAATATATTAAAATAGGTAAAAAGATATATATTTTTGATAAAAAGATAAAACTTAGCTTAATGGTTTGTTATAATTATTGCCACTTCTACAACTGCCAGTTATGAACTTATGACTTAAATATATGTGCACACTCAAATGCATAATATAATCATTCTCACAAAACTGGAAAAGAAACATATATGACTCCAACCCTATGTCATAAATCAGAAACATATTTTAAGTAAAGTTGTATTTGCATTACTGGACACTGTATTTATAAAATTGTCTTATACCACGAGCTAGGTAGGTCATGAAAATCCTTTCCCCTCACCTCTCTTCAAACTTGTACTCCTCACCATCACATACAAAAGATAAAACTTTATATGCCTCCTCCAGCAGTTTAAAAATACATTGAATAAGCCCACATCACACTAAATATGTCAAGACAGATGTAAGCAGTTCATGATATAAACAACTCGCAAACTGAGGTCTAAATAGCAACAGAAAATATTAAATTAACCTAACAGCTAATAATCAAAATGGTGTCCTTGGAGACCAGGGTGCATACGCTGTATGCTACCCAAGCTTATATCCAGTTTGGTAGCATCTTTTATATTGTCTTTTGAACAATTTTTTTAATCAACAAAAAACAGCAGAAAATGTTAGGGTGGTTTGAATGTTTCATGATGACAAAGAAAACATCAAAATACCTTCTCATAACAGGGTGCATCCAGTTTTATGATTGATTTAATGGATATGATAGCCTGAATTAGCACATTGTCTTCTCCAACCACAGATTGAATTCCGCTAGACATAAGTTCTGCAACTAAGGATATTGAATAAGGAGCATGTCAAATCTTAAATAGGCATGAGAAGACGCTGGTACATAGTAACATACCATGTCTTATCAGAGTTAACAACCACTCCAAACATGCATTTGCCATTTTTGGAATCCTTTGAGCGCATAGACCAATGGCAGCAACTGTATCTGCAGCAAATCTCCTATCTGGATCTTTAATATAATCCTAGCAACACACTAAGAAAAACATCAATTTATGCAGAAACCTAGTAAATGGAATTTACATTCAAAGTTCATGGTAAAATTTAATTCACACCCCAATAGAATCAAAATATTAATGATCCCATTTCTTTGTTTTGAAAACATAAAAGATATTAACCATAAATAAGAAGCAAAAGTAATTTTCAGTACGTGTGCAGAAAGTAGTAATAATGTTTATTCCACAATTTGCACAGCAAGCTAAGGTTTAATGCTGACAAACACTTCTTTTTAGAAGGCAGTAACTCATCTACATATCACAACTTAGCTGAAAAGGAATCCTTGAATTTGAGGTGAAATACCTGAAATTCTTTGAGAATGAAAGAAACAGATGAGTCTGTGGCAATGGCAGAAAGTATCTCAAGCTTCAGAGCTTTTATCTGATATGAATCTGAAGAACATATAAAGAAGTCTTCATAGTGAGCAACAAAGAGCGACGGCATAGCTTTAGCAAACACTTGGATATTGCACAGGACCTGCACAAATCAGAAAGTAAACAATCATTTTATTTCTAAACCCAAGTATCAACCAAATTCAGAACATATACCAACGAACAAACATTTAGGCCAGGGGAGATGCTTTCTTAACATTCTCTTCCCTAGTGGCCCCCTTCATTTACCCCACCCTTATGCATTATGTTAGTGGGTGTTTGGATACAGTGCAGAATCAATTTTTGGGTAAAAAAATCGATTCTCCACAAAATTATCCAAACACACAATATTTTGGTTAATCGATTTTTGGGCCAAAAATTGATTTTTCTTGGAAGCTGAGAATCTGAGCGTTTGTAGAAAAGCTTGCCAAAAAGCGTTGGGGAAAATTACAAAGAAAGGCCCAAGAAAAAATTACAAAGAAAGCACACAATTTAATAAAAATAAAACCAAACTCTCTTCTCTTTTTTTTCTTAATAAAATTCAAACTTTGTATCGTCAAAAAATTGATATTTGGTATTTAAGAATTAAATTATATAATAATTTATATAGCTAAAATTGATTCTAATTAAATTATCCAAACATCTTCAATTCTATTAAAATCAATTTTAAAAAAATAGTATCCAAACAGATTGCGTTATAACATAATCAATTATGATTAAAATCTACCACTTAATCAATTATTTTCATAATATATTATACCCAACTAAAATCCAAACGGGCACTTAATAGTCTTAATGGGCCTAGACCAACTGAGTTTGAGCCCATCATATATGTAACAATGTAAGAATTTCAAGAAACAATAGAAAGAAATGGAGAAGAGTAGACGTGCTAGAGTAGAAAAACTCAAGTGAAAGCAGCATGTATGATTCTACTCAAAAGCAGAGAGCAAAATAAGACATAAACAAGGGGTGCAAGAAATGCCTACCACGTATCTTGAAGCATATGATGATCGCAGGACAAACAAGAGTGGTTTAACAATTTTTTTAACATCATCCTGAGAGGCCATTATCCAATGTACGCCAGCAGCTGCAAGTACTACAGCACTGTTATTACTCCACAACAATGGTGAAGTACACTGCAGCAGGATCATCACCTCATCATTCCTGGAAGATGAAAATTGAGATGCATCTAATTTAGGAAAACCCTTATTTGGAGAACTTGACCGTGATAGATATTCATCCGGCCCTTCAATGTAGCAATGGAAAATCATATTTGCTAATTCAGATAAAGGATTCCCAGAGCCATCAGCACCTTCTTTCACTGTAAAGTCAGCCTCATCATCTTCAGATACAGTCTTTCCAGAGCCATAATCCTTTTCCTGACACAAAGAAAACATGATTGATTCTTTGACAAGTCCATTCCTTGCAATCACATACCGCAGAAGGATCCCAATTAGGATTATCTGACCCCATTCTTCCACATCAGGAAGAATCTCACACAACCGTTTGTACTTTCTTCCAAGCAATAGAAAATTATTTGGACAAACAGTAGCAAATGCAGAAGCTGCAGCCCCAACAACTTCAGGGGAATTGTCATTTAATAATAGTCCAACAATCTACAAAAGCAGAGGACTGCTGTTAATTAATTGAACCCATTATGGCCTCATAATCATACATTGATAAACCTCCAATATCTGGCATAGAAGTATCTTTTGCAAACTCAGGTTTCAAAGTATGAATCCCATGAAGTTAAGGATACAGGTGCATTAACAGAGCACAAACACAGAAACAACGACAATGATGAACATAGTGATAAGAAACAAATATGTAGACCAGACCTCTTCAATTGCAGAAGTATGTTCCTCTAGCCGCAAATCATGAAGCTTGGGAAGAGCGTTTGCAGCACATTTTCTAACAAAAACAGAGGGATCTCTTGCACATTTTCCCACAGCAACAAGAACAAGAGGTGCAATTACATGAAGTCGAATACCAGCCATGGCACGAAGTGCCCATGCCCTCACCAATGGATTTGGGTCACCCAGGTCCTTTTGGAAACAATTAATTGATAGTAATGCTTCATTTGGACGCCTAAATCATTAAAAGGATGAAATAATAAAAGCATTATCAGTAAGAATAACTCATCATGTGCTGAAACTAAGTATAAAATGCCAAAAGCCAGGAAATAAAAGCACATGTTAACTTCTAAACGCATAATTATAAAACATGACCATGAATACACTCCAAAAAAAATGAAAGAATAAAATGTGTTGTGAATGTTTAGCAAATGAATTTTGATGATCCCATTAAACCTACAACAAGAATAAAAGCTTCAAAGGAAGAAGAAAGATAAACTAGAGAACAAAACAAAGTAACTAAGTGAAATGGTTGCATATAGGTCACAAAATTTAAGGGCTTACTGCAGCTACATACTTTTCAGCATAATGCAGGAGGTACAAGTAGACCAGCTTCTTAACTTCCAAAGATTGAGATGCAACATTTTTAACTACCTGTAATTTCATTGATAATGGAAAGAAAAAAGATGGAAAACAGATGAGTACATATTAGATACAAAAATCTTCAAACTAGTTTGAGACCTAGTTTATAATATTAAAATAAGCCCAAAATCCTTATAGCTCCCCTAGCAACAGAATTATGTATTAATATTAATCAATATCAATATAAAATATAAAAGATATAACAAGCAGCTCTATTTATATAACAAGTCAAAAATAGATTCATTTCTCAAACTTCAAACAATGTACAAGATTCACATCTAGTTGAAATAACCTAAAACTGCTTAAAGCTCCCCTAGCAACAAAATAAAGTAATAATTCAAACTAGTTTGAGACCTTGCCAATCTTCAATCATCAATTAAAAATACATACATATATATATATATATATATATATGAAAACTCTAACAAGCCACACTATTTAGATTCATTCTTCTCAAACTCGATGCAATGCACAGGAGCTGCATTTAGTTAACTACTAAGTATTAAGTAATAATATTAAAATAACCAGAAACTACTTTGGCTCCCTTAGCAACAGAATAAAATAATAATACAAACTATTATGAGACCTTGCTGGCATCATTCAAAATGGGGAAAAATATGTCATAGAGCTAATCGTTTTCTAGACGAGCTATGACTGCAAGTAACCACTGAAAATTTGTTTCCAATAAAATTTGGATGAAGAAATGTAATTCTTATCCAGTGATTTTGTTACACAATGAATGAAGTACATATCGTGCTCGGCAAGTCAACATACAGATTACGAAGCCGATAAACAATGATAAACTGCAACACAAAACTGAAATTGATTTTTCAAAACTTATGAATAGAAGATACTTGATCAAACAAATGGATGAGAATCTGATTAAGAGGGCGAAGAGTAAGACCTGAGGGAAGAAGCTGGCGACATCGAAGCCCTGGGCGATGAGAGCAAGCAATCGCTTAAGAGCTTCGCATTTCTCAGAATCGAACTTGCTGTCGAGCAGGGGAGCAATATTGACATCCTCGGGATCGTCGTAGAGATGGGCGTCCGTACCGATCCGGAACACCAACGTCGACGCTTTACTCAAAGATTCAGCCGTCGCTCCAAATTGTGTGAACATATTTTGCGAAGTATTCTTTCAGTCGCTCCTCCTCGCAATTCTTCTCTCTGATCTGTTACGAATTGAATTTGGAGCGAAGTAGGGAGTGCTTGGATACAGAGTTGAGAGCAGATCGTAATCTGGTGAAAAAACCTTCGCTTGGGGCATGTGTATAATAATAATACCAATAATGTCAACACGTCTCTCGTTTGTTTTTCAAATAAAAATAATATAATTATTCATCCCGGTACTGTACTTATAACGTATTTTAATATTAGTTCTTATGGTTTTTCTTTTTTCAAGCCATCTTAAATTTCATACTGGACCGGCAGTTGAATGTTTTTAATAAAAATTAAAATATATATGTTTACGCACCTTTTTTCATTATCATTACAAGGCCATGTAAAAATTAGTTAAATTAGCCACAAGATACAAATCATTATAAGAGTGTCTATATTTAGCACTTGATTATATTTCAAATATGACTGCAATTAAAAAAATCTAGTTAAACTGGTAAGGATGAGATCGTTGTCCCATGTTGGGTGAGTTAAGAAGCATAACATTACCATTCATATGATGAACTTGAAGGGGAAAAAAAAACCAATCAGTATATTTATTTATTTGCCTCCCTTTTAAATTCTGAAAGCTAAATTGTTAGGCTCTTTGAAAATTTTCAAAAACAATCCCTAAACTTTTCATGCATTTCAAGTGACCAAGACAAAGACAGCAAACACGTAAAAAATTGTTCATAGTGGCTTAGTGGCTATTGTTGTTTGGGTATTGTCATGCGGATCCCTTGTTGACCTTGAACATCATGAAATGTTAAGGATACGACAGTGAGACAGACACCAAGCTTGAGGGAAAAAGGAGCCGCCCCTCCTAAATCCTTTTTTCCTTTGGCATCGTCACCTCATAATATTAATATATGAAGATAATGCCATTTTCTTGAAAAGATTTTTGATTCTAGCCCCTAAAAATTCTAGATGCTTTTGTCAAATAAATTAATCTATATATCTTATATATCAAAGTCACTTCAAGCTGCTTAGGAAATGGCTTATTGTCGACTCCTCACTCATATTACTGTTCAATTGAACAGTTCCAGCTTCATTTTTTTTATCTGGCTTAGCATCCAGATTGCTGCTCCAGGAAATAAGTACAAGAAAAGGTTCCTTCTCTTTATTTTCAAATTTCAAAACTCACTCCCAAGTCTCAAATTTCAATGAATGAAAAAGATAATCACTCTGCCTGTCCTTTTCCTTTCTCCTTTTTCCCCCTCTTCCTCTCACCCCCTCTCTTCTCTCCTTGAGTTCTGCCTTTAGCATTCCAGGCTTCCTCCGTTCAGCTTTCAAGACTCTATTCAAATTCGCAGCCTCTACACTGGTACGTTTTCCTTTCTCCCCTTTTCTTTTCCCCTCACCCTCTATTCTTGTAGCTCTGCATCAAGATTCTAAACTTCCTCCGGTTCAGCTTTCATGTCTTTCCTCCCCGAGCTCCACTTCCTCTGTTTAGACTCAAATGCACACGTTGTCTTGCATTTCATTCTTCATCCCCGTTGGCCAGCTTTTGGTGACTCCATATCCACCAAGGGATTTTGACTCATGGGTCCTTCGATTTGACGAGATTAGCTTGCATTATGAGTTTTCCATTTTTTTAAATGATGCTTTGTTATTTTACTTTTTTAGCTTTCAATGATCTGGTACTCTTCATCATCCTCTCATTTGATTTGATCATTTGACAGCTTTTAGGCGAAGTATCGTTCAAAATATAACAAGCATCTCGGCCATTTCTCTACCTATGAAGTGTATGGGAACATGATTGGAAGCTTTCTCCTAAGAGATATGCATCTTTGTAAGGTAAGCTTTCATTTCCCAGATGCCCCCATGATTGAAGCTATTTCATTATATGAGAGGATTGGTGACTTTTAAAATTTATTGACAGCATTTAAATAAGGGTTTTTTTTTATTGAACCAACTATCAGAGTTGATGTAGATACCTTTATGCAAATTAGGAGAGGAGAAGTTTTTGGACTTGTTCTCTATGTAAAAACATTTAATATCGAGGAAGAAACTATTAAATTAGCAAATGATACCCAATGAATTTATGTCTAAATTACTTTACCATTACACTTTGTTTTACTCTTACTTTATTTGCTATTGACATTAAAGTTACTATGTATTTTGGTGTTTCATAGATATGAGATATCAAAGACTAACCTAAGATTGTCATAAAAACAAATAAAGTGATTTGGTTGCTTTTGGGTTGTTATTGTTGTTGTTTCGAATATGTTACTTTTGGACTAAAACAGCATATTATTTTGCTTCATTGTAGGCTTTTCAAGTGGGAATCGTATGGATCAATTGCCCAAATCTGTGCTTCGTTCAAACCTCATGAAGAAAACCAAATTGCAGCATGCTAAGAAATAGATTTGTTAGTTGTAATTGATATTTTTCTTTAAATTTTTTACATGCTTCTTTGACTTTTCATTTTTTTTGAAAGAAAGTCAAATGAATATATCAACTAAAAAGCATAAAAATATTCTTACAATTCAAAAGATAATAAAAAATGGCAATTGTAGAGAAAAAAATCAATAAGTTATTGCAATTGTTGCTTCTCGAACAAAACAGAATTAAAATAATCAAGCAATTAGAAAACATCATGAGCAAAGTAATCAACTTTTTCCTTCAAAGGCCTTAAGTTTCCTTTATAAGTTGAAATGGTGATGTGACCTAGAATGTGTGCGTGATCAAGGCTACCCATGAAATTGTAAATCTAGCATAGAATTGTTCCTAGGCAAGCCAATCCAAATCCTTATGACAAACTTTTCAAATCATGAACCTACTCAACTCATCACTATTATACAAGACTTGAGATCCACAGGCGATGAGCCTACTTTTTTGAATTTTGTGATCTTAATTATCCATTTATTTCTAGAAAATTGAGATGACTTGACTATGAAGGAATTCAAAACTGAAGATGATAATTATCCATTTTTGAACTTTTTGAGTTGAATTTTATTGAAGATGATAATGCTGGCTTTCGTTGGCAAGCATTCCTGATGAAACTTAGCTATCAATGAATGTCTCGAATAACTTGATATGAAGAAAATTTGAAAGTCCCATGAAGGGCTTGATTTCTGTTAAACCAAATTAAGTGAAGGAGAAGGAAGATTCCTTCGAGCTTTGGAATCTTATTATCACGATATGATGCTTCTGATGTGGAGATGATCCATTCTACTAGTCCTATAGCAGACATACCATGAGAATGGATAGAACATGAGCCACACCAAATGGCTTTGATAAAAGGGCTATCACATAAAATGTGCTCTAGGGATTCATCACAACCACAACCAAAAACACACTAGATGGATGCCAATACATAATGCTTGAGAAGTATGTCTCTAGTTGGAATATTTTTATGAACAAGCTTCCAACTAAAGAGCAACGCTTTGTAAGGGGGGTTCAATTTCCAAATAAAAGACAAGACGTTGGCGCTATAACAAAGATGGACTGCATCAAGAAATGTGGAGAGATTCTTGTACCCCTTTTTAACAGTATAAGAATCATTCATCCAACCCAATTTGTCTAAAGAATCAAAAAAAAGAAAGGGGGATCTACAATATTTGATCAACAATCTCAATCCTGTGTATTTCATTAAGAAGAGAGAGATTGCACCTAAACCTTTGCCAAGGCTAGTGTGAAGCGATAATGAGGCTATAAACTGTATTAGGTTGTTGTCTGTGCACAAAAATCACATCTAAAGGTTTCCACTATTTTTCATGAGTAAGGGATCAGACTACCATTACCTACTTGCTAAGAGAAATGGGATGTGCTAGTATCAGCTGATTTGAGAATGCCCTTCTAAAACCAACTAGCATTATAAGGCTTGTTGAGAGAGAATCCATCCCTAGAATTAATATACTTGAGTTTTAGTATGTTTTTCAAAAGAGAGTAAGGCTTAGATTGGAAGATTCTCCAAATCTATTTGGCAACGAGTGCCAGATTCATTAATCCTGTATTGAAGCTGTAGATTCAAAAGATGAATATTTTTCTTTCCTTCTCCAATACCAACAAAAAATAACTAATTTAAAATCAATGATATCACAAATTTTTTTAGGTTTACTTTTTTATATTCATTTCCATTGAATTGAGCACACTCTTCCATATTAAAAATAATAAAATTTGAATTGTAAAATAAAGTCAAACTCCATCAGTTCATTCAATAGAAATATATTATATGTTAAAACTTGAATTAATAAAAAACATATTAAATGGATACAGATAAAATCACCTCTAAAAAATGATTTATTTTTACATTCAAATTAATAAAATAGAAATTGGCATTTCTAGATGACAAGACAACAGCTCATTGATTTTGGAATAATTTCGCCTAGTGCAATTTTTTTCATTTATTCCATTTTAATATAATTAGTGGATAAAACTTCAAATCACTAACCCGAAAGAGCTTAAGAACTTATTTATGAATTTTAAAGTTTCATTTTTTTTTATTGTTTTATCTATTCTCTTTATACAAACAAAACTAATAGATAAATAATTTTGCAACATTTACGGAGGAGCTTTGGTTGAGTTAAAATATAGATAATTTTGAAAATATATACTCCCTCTGTTCAAAAATATAAAATATTTTTAACCGAATCTCACCTCTCAATAAAGTAGTTACCTCATTTCAAACTAACTTTTTTTTATATTTACTTTATTTATTTCAAACTATTATTTTTTATAATAAATTTATATTATTAATTAAATTAATATATTAAAATTCACATGTTATAATTTAATTTTAATATAAGTATGTGAAGTATATAAATTTTGGCTAAAAACATATAGCATTTTGGATGAAGCTAAACTTTGTGCAAAAAAATTTAAAACCATTACCAATTTTAAATTTCCATTTTATGGCGGGGCGATAGTCTAGAGAAAAAGATAGAGGAGAGAATTGTGAGGTCGCTGGAAACCCAAACCCTAGAAGAGAGGACGAAGGAGGAGGTCCTTTTCCTATATAAGCGCCCCGGCGGCTGATGAGTACAGCATTTCTAGGGCTGTGATTACAAAGAGAGAGGCTTGAGTGGGTCTGATTGGAACTGGGAATGGGGATGACCGACCACGGAGCCTGAAGGTGCCGCCGACACTCTTCGCCGGAAGGGTTCGGCTTCGGTATCTCGGCGACTCGGCCTCATGTCTACCCCCCTGTTTCAATTGAATTCTCCCTACCATGACGGATCTTTCTAAAATTTACACTTGATATGAGCCCTCATTTCTTCTGATTTCTACCTTCCACGCTCCCCTCTGATTTTTTTTTTTTGGGGAAAATTTCCCTTAGGGTTTCTGGAGACTTGCACTGGTTGTTTTTCCTTAGAGAAAACACTTGATTACGGTTTGTTTTCTCGCTGAAGCTTCAGTGCTGACAGAGAAAGCCTGATCAGAGCACTCGCTTTAGTTGCAGATAACAGGTTTTGTTCAGCGGAAGAAAACTGGTTGTTTCTGGGACTTAGTGGTGTGTTGTGATCAGGCAGCGGCCAGACAACCGTAGGGATGGTATCCACAGACGATGGGTTTCTTTCTTCTCACTCGTCTACTGATCCCATCGCACATTTTCTTTGTGTTTGTTGATTCTTGTTTGTTTGCTTGCTTTTCGTCAGTTTCAGCCGGCTAGTCTTTTCTTGAATATAATTTGAGGGTAGATACTCTATAATGATCCCAGGACGAAGAGGAAGGGCAAATTGCCGAATTATATTTTGAGGAAAGATATTTTTACTCTAATTTGGTTTATATTTTGAAGAGAATTGATTTGGATTGGTTAAATATTTACCGGGTGTAGAGACTGTGTGTGTAGAGCTTGATGATGGAAAACAGGAATGGAAGAAATATTGGATAACTTCTGGTATGGTATGCCTTTGACAAAGCCAATGGCTAAGCTAGCGTTTTGGGTGTGCCAAAGAATGATACAACAGAATATTATATTGTGGGCTTTACAAAAACTAGAGTGGCAGAGTCATTGAGTGGTTTAAAACTGATTTAATTTTATTGTTATGAGATGTTTTGGAAATAAAAAAATAATAAACATATTTTTATTTTTTCTTATTTTTTAAAATTATAATTTCAAAACACTTAAAAATTGTTTTTATTTTTTTATTTTTTAAAATGATATTTATTTTTAAAAAATATTTTTTAAAAATATATTATTAAATAGATTTTTTTATTCTCATATTTTAAAAAATAAAGTTTTCAGGACAAATTAAATATGTCCGGTGTTTCTGTTTGTTAATTACTGATGACATGAAAGGGAATAATATTTGTCAAAGGAACAGAATCTAATTCGTAAAGCTGGTTAATTAGAATATGATATTGTTACTGCAGGATGACTGCCTTCCGTGATCTCAAGAAGCCATGTAGCATCTAAACCTACACTGCCTTGAAAATATGGACTGCAATTCCATTGCCAAATCCTGAGACAAACTCGGCTTGCCTTTTGGCAATAAATCTGCCAGAAGTGCAGAACTCTGTGTGAAGATCTGTGAAGTTCTAGGTTTCATATAGTGATATTTCCTATAATTTTATGGAGTTTTACTTTTACTCTTTATAATTTTTTTTTCTGTATTTTGAGTTTCTATAATTTTAACAAAATTAGATCACATTTGTTACTTTCATTTTTTTTAATTTTAATACTTTTAGTCCTTATAAGGACTGAAAAAATTATAAATAAAATACAAAAATTAAAAATAAAATTAGAGTGATCGATTTTGTTTTCCTCTTGATATTTATTAGAGGGCTAGATGAATCCAACGAAATGATTGCTGCATTAGAATAATCCTGGACTCACGGACACCGTCGCCAATAAAAAAGGAACACTGTTGTAGCCCCTCTAGGCCCAAATCTTTTCCTTGGCCCAACAAGAAAACTCTTGAGAAATCATGAAATGAACCCCACTTATTTAAAAAAAAAAAAATTGAAACAAACACCACTTGTTCCTGTTTGCAGTGTTCGGACAAAAAAATCATCCTTACTTGATCTTGTGTTTTAATAATGTTAATATTCCCTTCGTTCGTTTCTTATCTATAGACGCGCAAAAGCTGTGGAAAATTAAGGGGTTATCCAATGACTATAGTGATTGGAGGGTTACTCTCCTTATCTAATGCCACTTTTCCCTATGAATATAATGGGCACTCAATTTTCATACACAAGAGTTTGCCGATCTTAAAACAGGTTTTTAAGTAATGTCAATGGACCAGTGATGACATCTTTTTTTATTTTTTTAATACTTGTTTCTAAAAGGAAAAACTTCATCTTTTTTTGAAAAAAATAAAATAAAATGCTTTTAACTTTCAGTTTTGCTTTATTTATCTCTCGTTAGTGAGGGTACATTAAGTCAAATCCTTCCTCAATTCATCGTCCAGAACCTTATCTTCATTATAGAACCCAAGCTGGAACATCCCGTTGGGAAGTGATTTTTATACTAATTAAAACCTTGTGAATCCATTTGTTTGATTGTTTCATCCACGCAAACATTGAAGTGAAAAACTGGAGACTGAAGAGTAGTAAATGCTATGAACTTACAACTAAATTTCGCATTAGAGAACTAATCAATACACAAACACATTCAAAGAAGAGACTAAAAGGGATGCATTGACTCTCAGTCTCTCTTAACATACATAAACGTAGCTGCGGGCTCACAAATTAGCAGCCAGCCACTTCAGCGTCTTGAAAATTCACTTTGACTTTTCCCAATCCCCAATCCCTCCCACTCCCAAAAGAAAAGGGGGCGAAAAAGACACTAATATAAGTCAAAAAGTTTCCTCGCCGTCTCCACGTACTACTACAGTACTACTTTTTCTTTTTCTTTTTTCCCTTTCTTCTCCTCGCCGTTCCCGCGTATCCACATTCCAAAGCCAAAACAAGAAAACAAAAAGACAAAGAAAAAAAAAAACGCAAGCAAGATTTTTTTTTTCCAAAAATATATTTTATATAATCGGCGGGAGCAAGTTCGGAGATCTCAGACCCTGAAGTTCTTGCCGGTGAAGGTTTGGCCGAATTGCCAGTTGGAAGGGACGATGTTCCAGGAGGTGGATGTCCGCCGGTCGCTGCCGGTGACCCTGAAGGACAGTGACTGACCGATCAGGACGGCGTTGGATTGCCAGTTCTGACCCCAATTACGGCTCATGTTCATCCACTCCGTCTTCGACCCCTTCACGCTCACCCTCACAACATCCCCGGCGCCGGCTACGTTCGTTATCAGAACCAGGTTGAAGTACTTGAACCCGTTGATCGTAAACCTTATCCCTCCGCTTTTCCGGCAAGGTATCCTGCATAATAAACGATCCGTAACATAATGATGAAGTTGAACCATTATTATTCATTGAGATATCAAGCTCTGAAAAGGTCATCACGGTGACAACAGACGAGGTACAGAGTACGAGGCATGAGGATGGCGAGATAAAGATTCGAGAGATGGTTTGGGAGTCCTGTAATTACGCGGTGTGGTGTGGGTTCGTTTGTCAAAAAGTCAAAACCTGAGCTGGATTCAGACCAAGGGCTTGGATTCTCTGTGTGGGGTTTTGGTGGGGTCACGATCAATAACGTGATTCTTTGACATGGATGTGGGACAGAAGGGAAGTGATTGCACTTTCATGGATCAACGGCTCAGCTTTTACGACGACACAAATTGTACGATACTTGATCAGAGTTCACACGGCTGTACCAATCATCTCCTCCCAAAAGGCCAAAACTTTATAGTTATACTAATAACCCCTACGCCCAACTATGCAGCAGAATCTCATTCACTTCTTAGTTTTTTACCAAATGCTGAAGATTTGCCCAGTCATTCGACCGGGTTAAGTGTTAAAAGTTGTACTGAAGAGTCGTGAACAAAACACTAAGCAACGATTTAACAAATTACTCGTCCAATCTTCAATCATCAGATCGAATACTACGATTTTTACTCTGGTTAAATTGGAGGGAAAAAATTGGGTCTTCATTTAATAGATAACAGTCAGTTCGATCAAGAAACAGCATTAACAAACAAACAAGGACGATGAGACTACGGCGTCTGAGTAAAGTAGGAAAAGGGCAAGGGAAGGGACGTACCGGCGGTAAGAGACGGGCACGATGCCGGCGCGGTACTCGGCGATCTTGAGGAACATGGGCATGGCGAGGTCGAAATGTGGCCGTGGGGGGTTGCACCAGCCGCCATTGTCGCTGGGAAGAGCATAGTTGGGTGGGCAAAAGTTGGTGGCCGTCACGAAGATCGACGGGCTGCCGGGATGGCACCATTGTGGGTCGCTGCCGCACTTGATCTCGAAGCAAGCCCCACAGCTCAGGCCATTGTTGAACAGAGCCGTGCTCAGCGCCGCCGTGTTCACCCCATACCCTTGGCTGTACAAGTTCCCATACCCACACGCGCCTCCTGCACATACAACACAATTCGCAGAATTTTTAAGAAATGGGTTTTACTTAATCGGCCATTCGAGTAGGAAAGCTTAGAGCTTTGTTCTAGTTTAGGTGAAGAAATGGAGTACCCATGGTGCCGGAGGCGTCACTACCGCCGTAGAAAGTAGCGTGGGCGTTCTGCCACTCTCCGCCGGAGTAGACGCCGGGAATTTTAGCATGGGTGAGGGTTAGAGAAGCAATGAGGGAAACAATAATGGCGAGGGAAGTGAGGAGAGCCATTGGAATCGATGCTGGCTCTTGAGATTGCAGGGTGTGTATATGTTCCTGAGGATTAAAACAGAGGAAGGAGGTGGTATTTATGGAGGCAGGGGAGGGAAGAAAAGTGAAAAATTGTTTATTAAAAAAACACAAAGAAAAAGAAAAAGTGAACATTCAGGGGACGCAATTATCATCCTTAATTAATGCTTCATTGTCTCCTTAACGCCGCAAATGACTTTTTTCCACTTGGAAATAAAAAATTCAATTTGTTTTAAGCAAATTACACTTAACAACCCTAAATTAAATATATTTATAACTTTATATTATGTTTATTTTTTAAAATGATTGCTATTCTTGAGATTATAAAGCGTCAATATGTCAATATAATATGACCAAAATATGAGTTGCTGTTTCGATTTAACATTGTTTAACTATTATACTTACCTAACAATTTAATGACACGCACGTCCAAATACACACACAAGCAAATAAATGGATCTGTAACCTAAAAAGGTATGAGTTTTGTGCCAGTAGAACCAGAAACTTCGACATTAAAGATGAATACATGTGTGTCCTTGTTAAATTAAATATGCAAGTTCTATGTATATTGATAAATTAAATTTTGATAGCACCTCCATTCTTCTCTATTTGTCAGTCTTCCTTCTCTGTCCGTGCCTCTATTGGACCATGTATTTGTGGACGGAGGCTTTGGGAAAATTTCACAATAATCCCCCTTTTGTCTACTGGCGTGGAGTTGGGAAGGTAACAAAGGCACAATTTATTAAGTTGTTGTAATTATCAGTTAATTAATTTTATTTTTGGAAGGAGTCAAAATTCTTTAATTTCCATTCATATTCCTTGTGTTTAGGAAATAGCACTGTGTGTGTGTGGGAGTGAGAGGGAGAGAGAGAGAGATATGCAATATGGGTTTAAAACCTTAGCACTGTTTACATTCCACCGCATCCTTGTTATTTAGGTGAATATTGTGTTATTGCATTAAATATTATTTTTGTGCACATTACAAAAATGAAAAGCTCAGAAAAATGCACGAAGATAGCTAGCATGTTACCTTTTTTTTTTATCGAGTAATGTATATTTTTATTTAGTGTGAAAAATTAGTCATGCCATCTCTCGAGTGTAGGGGACAAAAGAGAATGCGGAGCTCTGATGCAATATCCCTTTGCTTCATTTGCAAGTTGTGCTTTCGAGTGACAAGTAATATCATAATAATCAATTTCTATTTGTAATCTGTTTCCTTTTTTTTTTAATCTTCTTTTTTCTTCACTATTTCGAGTTTAACTTCTCTGGGGAAGTAAATCCTTAGAGATATCTGCAATGGGAAGTTGAGTTCTCCGATCTAATTATATACAGTTTGTCTTCTATCTTTTCTGACCACGTGATTTAACATTTGGACAATTCACAGATCTCGTGTGTGTGTGTGTGTGTGTGTGTTACTGAAGTTTTAAACTGTCCGATTTAATTGTTAAAAGTTTAAATTTGATTGTTTATCCTTTGTCATGATTTAATATGTTAATAAAAAATTTATAAAAAACCAAATATAAATTCTTCAGATCTTGAACTAATGATTAGATTAAAAAAAAAAACAGAGAGGAAGAGGTATAAGCCAAAAATATGAGCTAAGCTTGTCTAGCTACCCATTTAAGTTTGTTCATTTAAGTTCGGTCTTTGAACATTGAAATTGAAGAGGCTTCTCAGTCTTGCTTGTTTGTTTTTAAGAAAGAAGGGTTCAATCTATCCTTTGAAATTTGTATTTATTTTAAATTCAAAAAATTATGGTATCTCATATTTTTATACTTAATTTAAAATTTAGAATATGTGTTTGTACTTTAAATCGAGGGTTTGTTTTTATTTTGAATTTTATAAAATTTAGCTTATATTTTAAAGCATGGGCAATGTTCTAATATAAAACTTAATTTTTCCAAAACAAAACAGGCTTTCTAGCCCAGCTTTGAGCGTTATCAATAAATAT